CTAGACATTAGGAAGAACTTCTTCACAGTTAGAGTGGCCAGGGTCTGGAACGGGCTCCCAAGGGAGGTGGTGCTGTCCCCTACCCTGGGGGTCTTCAAGAGGAGGTTAGATAGGCATCTATCTGGGGTCATCTAAACCCAGCACTCTTTCTTGCCTATGCAGGGGGTTGGACTCGATGATCTATTGAGGTCCCTTCCAACCCTAACGTCTATGAATAAGTGATGCTGGTTCACTTAGGAGGCTCCCTGGGATCCATCCAGATGGAAGGTACTGCACACACATGGGTACATATTCTGTATCAGTCTTGAATGTCACCATCTAACTATCAGCTTCAGAGCATCTTATGGCAGTGCAAAGAGACATCCTTGGGGCACTAGATTGGGAACAGCTTTGAAGACTATAAAGAACATCTCCAACTCAATGGGGACCACAAAATCAAGTGCCAGAGAGAGCATTCAGCCTCCCAACTACTGCAGATTCATCAGATATCCCCCATGACACCTTAAAGCTACACCCAATACTGCAGGCTCATTAAGGAGATGAAGCCTCTGTGTGTGCACCCTGGTCAGCTGAAGCTGGCAAAAATCTTACTAAATACAAACACAAAGGGCTAATACAAACATATGTCCTTTGCCGATGTGGCTTCAGAAACAAGCTCCCTCCCATTTCTACAGCCAGTTCCTGCACACGTGCACATGTGCTCATACACACACGCACGCTTGCAGAGCCTCCATGAAGCAGCTCACGTAAACACAACAGCCCCTGGCTCTCCTTCCTGTAGAGTTCCCTGTTGCCATGGGTTACCCAGCTATTCCCAGCTCGGTGACCCAGTTTCTGCACTGTTCTCTTACAAAAAAACCAGGGGAGGCATGCACAAGACTGAAGACTGTTTATATCAGATAACAAAATCCCACCCAGCTCAGCCAACCAGAGCAGGGAGTGGAGGAACTGCCCCTTGAAGCAGGCTGCGGCTGGGAGGGGACAGAATATACGACAAGGGTTAACACACCACACCTTAGGGGTGTCACCCACCAAGGAGAAGCATTGCCTCTTGGGATAGGTCATGGTGTCTGGAGGTACTGCAGACTGCTCTAATACGCAAAGAAAAGGGGGTCCTACAGAAGCTGGGCATGGCTGGAGCTGCCCCCTCCCAGAGGTAAAACAAGGAGAAGATCTTTGCAGGAGAAAGTACAGAACTACTGGAGATCTCTGGCCACATCAGACTGGCCACTCCTCACCTCAGAGCCTGCCAAAACAATTAAGTAGGGCTGGTCTTTCCAAGACTTATCCTGGTCCCTATCACAGGAGCCCAGAACCCTGTGGGGATCCATTACCTTTGGTGGTTTCACTCTCCCTGACCAGGAAGGTTCCTCGGGGATTCTCAGGGTTGAGCAGGAGCCGTTCAGACTCCCGGCGAGTGATCTTGCCGAAATACCACCTGAAAGGCAAACCACAGGTCAGCACAGAGAAACCATTGCCCTGCTCCGAGTCCTACAGCACTCCTAGAGAGAGCCCCCAAATAGTTCCCCTACCTCCCAGCACCAATTCCTAGCACCATGGGCTGTATTAGCATTCTTCAGAGATCTCACATCCCATTGGCAGGAAGGGGGGGGGGGGTGTCTCTCAGCATCTGGTCCAGGTTTGGCTGGGTACCAAGGACCTCAGGCCAATAAGCTACTCTGGGTCATAAGCAGAGGCTTTAAAAATGCCTTCATGTCCCCCACACCAGCATGAATCCCACATATCCAAGCCTGGTATTCCTAGAGAAGGTCTTCTCCCAGCAGGTGCAGAACAATTACAATTGCAATCAAGCCTTCAGGCCTGGTGTGTACAACCTTTAAGAACAGGTATACACAAGTATTTGCTACAGCCAATGCCACATGCCTGATCTACATACCGCTGCTGTAATTTCACATGCAGATGAAGCAGTTGCAGATGCAAACTGTAGGGTATACGCCCCTTAATTCACACATGCAAATCATCTTGCATTTTGCTTATGTAATTAAAATCCTTATTTGGTTACAAGGATAAGATTCTTCAAGACCACTTCTGAAAGCCAAACAGTGGAGCTCCCTAGAAATACTCAAGAAATACTTCAAGTACATTTTACCAGGACACATCTAGCCTTCCTATCTGGCTTTTAAGAGAGAAAGTGTTTAAGCAGGACAGCAAGATCAAAAACAAGATGTTTACAAGTGCCTTTAGGGGAACTATAAAATATCTGGGAAAAGTCTGTGCTTGGCAGGGTCCTCGCATGGGTCTTTAAACTGTCTAAGAGATTTCAATTACTCTTCAGCCTGGATGGAGTCTGAGGGAGCGACATAGTTGCTGGGGATGTAGCCGGTCTGTCCTGTTGTGAGAGAATGAGCCAGCCACCAGTCTCCTTCCCTGGCAGAGAAACAAGAACAAATGCACATGTAAAGATACAGACATCACAGAACTGGAGGCTCCCACTACTCCCCAGCCCACGTCCTAAGCATCTGGCAAGCCCAAGGTCACAACACTGAGGTCTAGAGGTTACCTTCAAGGAAGTTGCTGGCACCACTATTTCCTTCTAAGCTAGTTTCCACCCCCGAAGTTACTTTGCTCGAGTGTCAATAGCTTTACTGCCCTGGGAAATGAAGGGCGCAAAGCTTGAAATCAAGCTAGAAGTCAGATCCAGAGCTCACAGGGCAAGGAGCTATTAAGCTTTGAATTCATTCAGGTGGGTGTCTGGATGTTATGATCCAAGGGCACAGACATGTCCTTAGCAAGCATTACCCAACCGAGCAGCAGAGTTCACTACACCATGGAAACCACTGTCCTTTGCTCAGTGCCACTCTTAACATCACAAGTCACAACTGTTCCCCACTAGAGTACTGGGAACTGCCATCTGCAAGGACACTCTGGGACCCTGACACAGGGGTGTGTAGAGGGCAGGAACCAAATGAGAAGGGAAGTGAATTATGGAGCTTTCCTCAGAGGGCCATCTCCAGAGGGGTGGAGCATCTGCCTGTCCTGCACATTGCTTTCAGAAATTGTATACAGGCATCCACTGATCCCTCAAGACATGTAGTGTCATGGAAACTCATTTCACATACGCACACTCCTTTTAAATAAGGAAACTCCTTACTTAAAAGGGCACATCAAATCTCTATCTACAATACCTTTGGAGCCATCTGAATTTGAACCAGGTCTGGCTGGAATGTGAAGCACCGGAAATCCAAGAAAGCAGATAAACGGGAAAGCAGAGAAGAAACAAAAACGCAACCGAAAAAAAACCCCCCCAAACAGCAGAACAGTGGTGGGGATGATCAAGAAGTGTCAGGAAAAAATAAATGAGACAGCTCAAAAAGCAAAACTTGTTAAACACAGTGGAACGAACAAGAAGAGAGAGGCAGGATAGAGACTAGAAAAAGAATCAAAGGGCAAACATCACTTAACAGGCCCCAGTGTTTGTGCTGCTGATGTCAGTGAGAACAGGGTGCTCAAAGTCAGTTTTGTTAGTCATTTAATTCCTCCTCATCCACAATCCAGTCTTCTAGGTCTGGAAGCTTCTCAGACCATACAAAGCACCCCCAGCAGCAGCTGAACCAGGCCTCAGTTCCCCATGAAGCCCAGTATTAAGTGCTATTGCTGAGAAAGGGCATCTGCCTGCCTGGGAGCTGTTACACCAGTCCTAGGAGGACATTAGTGGCACAGGAGCTGCTGACTGCCTGCAGCCCCGAGAGGAAAAGGGAGCGAGAGCTTGTGACAAAGCAGCCAAAAAACAAGCAGATAGTGGGTACCATGCAGCACCATTGCTGCATTTACATGCTCTGCTCTCGCTGCCTTGCGGGAGTAAACCCCCGAGGGCCCCGAGAAGGCCAAGGAGGTGCAGCGTCTCTGCTGTGCAGAATTTCACAAGGCACATGGCTAGTGGTAGTGGCCACGAGTGAAACAAACCCTCCTCGTGCATTCAAGAGCACACGTCCCCAGAACAGAATCAATGTCCCAGACTCTGTGGAGCTGTGCTGTGGGCTGTGAAGAGGAATAGATAGGGGTCTCTACAGATGGTGTATTTCAGTGTGGAGACTCCTGGCTATTTCGGTCGCAGCAGCTTTGGAAAATGGGAATGGGAGTTTACCAGACCAGGTGCGAAGGCTCCAATTTTAACAACTGGAGTAAGAACTGCGCACAACAGCATAACAAGCACAAATCGCACACAGTCATCTACTCGTGCCATTATGGCTACCATGCATGCTAGCGAGATTGAGTTGCCCAATCTTTCCACCAGGAAAATTGCACTGTAGAATCCGTGAAGTCATTTGCTTCAAGTCCAAGACTATACTTGGAGATAAACCATCTCTCTAGGTTCTTTTGGTACCTCATTGTAGTACCCAAGATCCTCTCTCTACACACACACACACACACACACACACACACACACACACACACACCCACCCACCCACCCACCCACCCCTGGGTGATACAAGACTGCAATAACACTGTGCCTCACTCACCTATCCTGACACAGCAAAATGTGACTGTCGTTGCTCTCGCAGTAATGTGGGGTGAATCAGACAGGTGAAGCAAGAAGCTTGTGGCGACAGATTTTAAATCGCACTGGTTCTTAAATTTTCTTTGTCTCGTTTTGAGAAATGAGGAGAGGAGCAGAGAAATTCTTGCAAGTGGGTCAAAAGCCAGAAGAGATTTTAGAGAATGGTGGGGAAGTTATCCCCTTCTTATGGGAGACAGCAGGAGGGTACCTCACATGCTATGCATGATCTGTTCCATCACAGCAAGATTTTGATTTTTTTCTGTGCACATTTAATTTATGACTGCAGGGGAAACGAGTCTGCAGAAAAAACTCTGCAGGTTCCTGATAAGAGTCTCACGAGGATAGGCCAGATGATTACACTTTTCAGAACAGCCTTTCACAGGAATGGCTGATGAAACAGCCCTCACATAGCAAAAGAGAAGATTAACACCTCCCCTTTCCCAGCACACACAAATGCAAGATACCTCCCCAGACCCTGGGGAAAGTCCCTTCCTGTATAAGCAGGCCCAAAAATCATGGTCCGAACATGTCAGACCCTGAGTTGCTGGTGGGAGTGTCCCTCTTCATTACTTATGCTGTATGTGTTCTGCTCTTCACCAGACAGAATGAGGAAACACCTTGCCCCTGTGTTATGGGTATTACCCCAATGGCAGGCAGCTCTGCCTACAATGATGTTTGTGTAACCAGCTGATGACACCGACCCAGTTAAAAAGAGAGACGGTGCAACTGGAGTGCTGGTGAGTGGGAACACCACACGTGTATGTCTGCATCTACTATGTTGCAGGGTCATTGGTTGTAGCCGTGTTGGTCTAAGGACACAGGCAGGCAAGGTTCTTTGGGTAGATGTGATATCTTTTAGCACGTCTGCTCCAATAACTTTCTCCACGTCTATGGTGCCTAATGAACAAGGATCTGTGTTTTCTGTTTACTGTGGAAAAATGCAGATTTTCTCATTTGAAGATGGCAGACACAGATTCTCCCCCTTTAAAAAGGAGAAAACCATGGGTTATCCCCTTCCAGGCAGGCATCTTTCCAACCTGCAAGGAGCTGCTTGGGGTTAGCAGGTGAACAGAGGAAGGGCAGTTGGAGACAGGGATTGCCATGTGTGTGCACATACACACACACAGTGGCGTCTCACTTTAAAGCGCAAAAGTGTGGATTTGGGGGGTTTTAAAAGTTGGAAAATCTGAGATTTTTAAACATAGAAAACAAGGATCCCTGCTAATGAAATAAGCCAGCCCCACTCCCCAGCCTCTTTGTGAATCAGACCCATATGGAAAGAAATAGACATAAGTAGAATAATGGCATATCCCCTACCTCTCAATGGTCTTGTGGGGATAACTACACTAATGACCCTGAGGTTCAGAGACAGAGATCATGTAAGAATCTAAGAGACAGTAACAGTGTATTCTGGGAAGCTTAAAAGACTGGGAGCTCTAGCCAAGGAAAGCTGGAAGAACTGGCTACATTGTTCACACAGATATGGTTAGTGGTTTCCCCATCTAGTAATCTTCCAGAAACAGGAGGCAAACTTCCCTGAAATCAATCTCTTCTCTATACTGGTAGGTACGGTGCCAATATGGTAATACAAGCATAGGCCAACCTAGAAGTTATGGACCGAGTCCCCACAAACAGCATGGAGTGCTAGGGGATCCTTTCTGCACTTACTTTTGGGAGAAAAGTATCACATGGCATGACAGAAGGGAGAACGACAGCTGCCTGAAGGACCTTTTCATTTCATGGGGAATGCCATAATTTCAAGATTTGCTTTTGCCTCAAATTGGGCCTATTAAGGCATCATCTGGCATTTTGAAAAAAAGACTCAAAAGATTTCAGCATCAGTTCATTAATTACAAGTCAAAATGTAGTGTTTCAGTTGCTTCCAACTGCAATACAAGCAACAAATCCTTGGAAAAAAATTCAGTTTCCTTGGATCATTTTTTCTGACAGACACTCATCCATCAGCAATAATGAATGACCCAGGGGAACCCCCATTCTTTCCTGTCACATTGGACTGGCTGGAAAGTCCAGCTTTGCTGAGCCTACTGGGGGAAAGCCCATCTCAGAACAGATGGGTAGGAAGGCAGCCAGACATGGAAACAATAGTTTGATGTTATTTCAGTGGTAAGAGGCCTGCACCACTATCCCAGGTTAAGGCAGCATGCCCCAAAGATGAGATTCTGCAATGTGACTGGTTTCCCAGGTATTAAGCACCTCCCATCATGACAACTCAGGCAGGGCAAAAAGCTCCCACCACCACCTGTAAACCCATCCTCAGTCTTCATCCAGAAATGGAGGCAACCAAAAACACTACTCATTTTTTACCAAAATTAAAGCCAGCTGCTTTAAGCTGCCTTGCAAAGGGGCTGGGCAAGGATGCTGCAAGCTACAGCTGTGGTAAAGACCAGGGACAGCATCAGAGTCTTGCTGCTTGAAGCCTTATTTTCTTGTACCTTGAGATGTCCATGAACCTGCCTGGATTTTCATTCAATTCCTTGTAACCTTGAGAGCCTCCTGAAATTTTAAATTTAGATGCAGATTTCTAATCCCACCCACATCTGGAAGAGTGAATTATTCAAGGTAGGGAAATGGGAAGGAAAGATGCCTTGTTTGGGGCCCACTTCTACATTACAGTGGAACCAGTGTAAATTATTCCAACCAGCTTCCAACTTTGACCTCTCCCTAATGATGAAAATGGGTTGTAGCTCCCTTCTCAAGCTCCTCAGTGACTTCTATTTGGTAGAATCATAGCTTGGAAAGATGATGTGCCTTCACTTTCCACCACTGAACCCTACAAATTGTTTCCCCGACTCCAAAAAGAAGGATGGAGACATCATCTAGAGAGAGTAGAGACTTGGTTAGTCCACTGAACACAAGGGGACTGTGCCCTCTTCCCTTTCTTCAGTCCTTGCAGATCCTTCTCCTTAAGCTCCATGTCAAGTTGGAACCAGCCCAGCAGCTCAATAAAAAGGCTGAAGCCACTAGGCTCTGAATCATTTCAAAGCAAAACCCAGAAACCAACCCAGATGCATTTGAAACCAGGTGTGGGCACAAGAAAGCATGCATAAGCATCTGCAGCACATGCTGCTAGGCAAGGTTCATGAGAGTATTACATGACTAGTTCCAGCAGCAAAGGGCTGGGATGCATCATGAGGCAGGATTTTTCCATCTGCCACATATTTTTCTAATGATACTTTTCAGAAGGAAAACAAAATCACTAGGTTTTAAGCTCACTGTGTTCAGCACATGTGGCTAGAGAGCGAGTTAGCTATACGACTAGGTCAGCAAGAATCTTGGACAAGGTGGGTGGTTATCCCAGGAATGTCTGTACATCTCAGCATGCTCTCAGGCAGAAGATTGAGTGTCTTCAGCCACACTGCAAATGTGTTATTCACTCCTTCAACAATACTGCACAAAGCAGTTTTCTAAAGAGGCCTCCTCCTCTCCCCTATCCCTGAAAAGGGAGAAGGTCCCAACAGCACAGTTACATTGCGTATGGTGGGTACTTAACTTTGAAACCATACCTTGGATTTCTAATAACTACCTGCAGACAAAGCCATTCTGTTCTGACAGCTGATGCAGCATGTACAAAGGACACAGTCATGCATGCAGACATGGACACAGTGCTCCCTTATGGAGACTTTGAAGAAACAGAAAGATGAACAAATGTCATCTAAAATAAATAATAATAATATAGCTGAAAAACCCATGGTTTCTTTTTCTGCAACAGGTGGAGGAATACAGGCAGAAGAGAAACACCCCCCGATCCAGAATCCTCAGCTGACAGATCTCTCCTTCTATGAACACAAATTAGAACAAAAAGCCAGGTCCAGCACAACATGGAGGCGGTGAAATGCAAGAATTGGAAAGCTCCTGAAGTTAGGCTTCTCTTGCAATACTCAACTCAACCCCTTGACACAATGTCATTTTTATTGTTTGAATTAATAAGAACTGCTGCATGGGAGTTGGCATTTAACCAGGGAAGTGGGATTTGAAAAAGATGCATGTAAACACTCCCCAAATATGGCAGGAAATCCACTGTACCTTTGGGGAATTTTCTAAAATATCTTCCAGTGCTTGATTTTGTGATTTTTTTTGGTAGAGGATGCCCAGCCCCCCAAAATTTTAAAGAAAGAAAAAGGTCAGGAGAAAAGAAACAGGTGAAGATCTACAGATATTTCCCCCTCACAGCACGTTTTGTCACTGAAGTTTGAAAGATCCTTAAAGTCCAGCTTTCTGACTCACACACTGTACCCATCTACAGGGCTGTTTGTGCGTGTGCATTTAATAAATAGCACAGACTTTCAAGCCAGAACAAAAGTGAAGCTCTCGCTGCTGCTGCAGCCCCTTTACAGCACCCCACTGCCAGCTGCATGAAACGTGCTCCGTGTAGCATAGACAGATTTCAAGAACACCACTGGGTCATCTGAAGGGAGCAAAACAGCAAGGGGTGCAATGCTAGGAACATCAAAGAAGTAGGAAGGACACAATTCACCATCTGCAATGTCTGGGTCCCCTGTGGCCAGTCAAAAAGGCATGTGCATTTATCGCTTGGATGAACAAAGGGGGGAGGAGAGAAAATAGACAAGCAGGAAGTGCTTAGTTAATTGAACCAAAAGCAGGAGCAAGGGAAAGTTGCCAGACCTGGACAGGAGTGAGTTTATACACCTTTAATGCAGACTGGGCTATTTCTGAGTAAGGAAGTGAATCCAGGCTCCATCTTTGTTACTCTTAAAAAATACAAAAAAGCCCCCAAGCACAATGGCCACTACAGACTGTAAACCAACCCCCCCCCCTCCCCACATCCCTCCCATAATGCCCTTCAGCCCATGTCCCCCAACCCAGGAAGACAGTTGTTTAAAACAGATTTCAAAAGGGCCTGTGATACACACCTGACATCCACTTTTCTCCTAAAGGAAAGCATGTTGCACAGGAGAGAAAAAGAGAGTTAAGAGACAGGGCCAAGACTAGCACTGCTGCACAGGCTCACCTGCTATAAGAAAATGAAAAGGAAAGGGAGAGAGATATCATTTGACAATCAAAAGGGACTGGAGGTCCAGCAATGTGAGTGACAATAGCAGTGACAGAGGTGAGGAGAGGGACTTAGCAGCTAGAAGACCTCAGGCACCAGGGCAAGACTTCCTACACGGGTGGAGGAAAGCCCAGTCCTGGCTGTCAGTGTGCCCATCAGCAAGAGGCCCACATCCAACAGTGGAATCAGTTGGAGTTTGCCCCAGAAGAGTAATGTTTCAGTAAAAGCCCCTAGATCCTGCTCACCTTGGAAAGCACCTAATTTTTTTAACTCTACTACAGACACCCCTCTGAGTACTTGAAGCATGTAACAGTAAATCAGTAGCCTCTCTCCAGCACTAGGAGCAGAGGGCAGCTTCCTGGCTTCTCAGTGGGCTTGGTTAAGGTATGCAAGCACAAAGCTAGGAGCCAGACCTCCCAGGTCCAAGTGTCTGCAGCCTGGAACAAGTCATGGACCTCTCTTTCTGTCTCAGTTCAAGAGGAGCATGACTGCCAGCAATTATCTTCATTAGAGACATCTTTTGTGTTCCAGCAGGAGGCCCTTGGCATACATGCCCCATCCCACACTGTCCTGCACATGCCCCATCCCACACAGTGTCCTGCACCATTTCTTTGCTATTTTACTCCAGGACCCTCCCAGCACACAAAATGTCACAAAATTTGAAATAGACCCTTCTTTAAAAGCAGATCATTAACCATATTAGCAGCGGTGAAGTTAGATGGACAGATTAAGGACCCAAGTTCTAAGGAAGAGATTAACCCAACAGCCCACAATGATTTCTTAAGTGCTGCCCTGCACCATATCTCTAGATGCTGGAAATGCTTGAAGGATCCAAGTAGTGCAGTATCTATGCTCTTTACTCAGTGCTGCACATAAGATATAAAAGGAGCTGCACTTGGAGCCAAGGTTGCCAGGAGAGTCTCCACTGTTTTACAGTGCAGTAATCATTTGGCAACAGCTTCTCATTTTACAGTTTTCTGGTCCCCAGTAGAGATGCTCTTGTTCAGCATAACCACTCCCTGCTGGCCACATGTACCCAAGGTCACAGAAGATTCAGACCTGAGGTACCTAGATCTGGCAAGACAGCATGTGCTCCCAGAGATCCCTAGTGCTCCCATTCCTTCCTGCTTTCCTTCTGCTGCTACAGTCCAGGCTAGCCCCAAGAGACCCAAGACAGGTCCTTTGGGACCCAAGCTCCCATGCTGCCAGGTACTCCATCAAAACAAAAAGGGCCAAAATCTTTCCCAAGGAAATGTATAGCAGGAATTTGCAGATGTCCATTACTGAAGCTGGCCAGGAATTTTCCTTGAAACAAATATTTCAATGGAACTGAAACTGGGTCAGAGCCAGAGACACACCCTCCAGGACCATCCCACGGTTAAAGCTCCCACCCAGGGCATGACAGACCCAGGTAGGAGCTGAAGGTCTTACTCAGACAAGAGTCAGGACGCGGATCCTGATTTTGTGCTTCATGGGAAGTGCTCCAACCATGGGGCTGGTTCCTGTTCAGGGAAGAGGGTGTGCCTCTGGTGTTTCCACAAAGTAGCTCATCCCAGCCAGTGACACTACCCCTAACTATGCCTACTCTGAGGGGACTTGGGGGGGGGGGACAACAAGTTAGGTTAAATGGGGGTGAAAAGCACTAAAAAGCTCAGGGTGCCATGATTTCATGAAGCAAGAGGGAAAAACAGCATTTGGCATGCACATAACCCAAATCACACAACTGCTCTCTCAGGTGGGTCAACTTCCCTTCACTAACACCATCACCTCTGAATGTCCTGATGGGAAAGTCTCTTCAGCAAAACACCCATTGGCCAGAGCTCTGGCCAACCCTGTAGGTAATCCTAGCCCCCCAAGAGTCCTGAGGGCTTGTGGGTGGGACAGAGAGATAAAAGCTAAGGATGCTACAAACAGGGCAAGTAGTGGGTTGTCAAAAAGAGCATCCACTACCACCTCGTGGCCACGCAGACTTTTCCATGTCCAAGCTCCCAGGATGACAAGAGCCCCCAGAAGCAGAGAACAAGGGAGAAAAGTTTGTGGAGCTCTTGATAAATCCCCTCCATCTAATATGGGAAGTTCTCTATGGACTGTGAGAATGCACAATACCCAGCCCTCCCCAGAGGGACACCACCACAGCAGTAGGGTGCAGGGTCTCAGAGGAGCCAATTCAAAACACCCTACAGAGATATTCAGCGCTCTAAGGACAAGGCAGGGTAGATGGCCAAGACAAAAGAGCAACTTTGATAGAGGAACATACATCAGCATGACTCCCGGAGATTAGCCAGTGTCTGAAGCACCCCAATGGACAAAGGCAGCAAGAATTCAGCCAAGCCAATACATCCCTGATTCAAATGTATAAGGCAGAAACACTTACGTATTATTGACAATTTGAAGGCGTTCCCCTTTTTTGAAGGACAGGTCTGTTTCCGTCCGTGACTCATAGTCGTAGAGGGCTACAAAGGTGGTGACTCCACCTGCAACAACACAAACTGAGCAAGAGAGACCCAGCAATATGAGCACACCCCACTCCAAGAAACATTTGCCCCAAAAAGGAGTTAGATAGAGCTGTGCTAGGAAACCAGAGGCTGGGGCTAATGACAGCACTGGTTCAGTCAGATTTTCCACTGCAGTCCTCTTTACCCCTAGCAAGAAAGATGCAGAGCCACCATTTTGTAAATGGCTGCTCTAGGGCAAGATTCAGGGTCCAGGACCCTTCTGTAAGAGGAGGAAGCCATGCAATAGCAGAGAGAGGACACACAAAACAAAGCCCAGAAATGTCTACTCGCCACCTAACATTCTCAGACATGATAAAATTAAAGCATCCTACTAACCCGCTAAAGCCCCCGAGCGCTGGGGGGACGTGACTGTGTCGGATGTATTGAAGCCTCCAAAGAGCTTGGACTCAGCAGCCATGCTGCCAAAGGAGCGGTTGGGGGTGCGGTGGGGATCGGGAACAGTGGTCTTGCTGGGTGTCTGCGAGGAAGAGTAACCTCCATGGTGGGTATTTTCTGCAGATTCCAGACTGCGTCTCCTCTGGCTGGGGTCCTTAGGTTTGCTCTTGCTGCTCCCCATGGTCCAAAGCCTGGAGAGGAGAGACAGAGGGTTAAAGCTGCTCCCTATGGTTTGTGCAACATAGACGCCAGCCTGCTAGGAACTGAAGCAAAACCTGTACACTTTTCAGACTGGCCAGCCAGCAGCTGACTGACAGCCCAGACATCCCGTCACCACTGCCCTGGAACAGCAATTGAAGCAACTCCAGTTCATTAAATTCAAGCAACCTCCTGCTTTGCTGTCTTAGCTAGTGAAACACTTGCCAAGAGGGGACTGACACACTGCACTTAGCAAGTGATAATTCAGCTACCAGAAGGAAGCATACTTAACAGCATTATAATAGAATGACTAATGCCAAGCCCATGCCCTTCATAAGCATCAAACTATGCAAAGAATAGTGGAGACTGTTCTAGCCATGGAGTTCATATTCAAATTCAGTGTTCAGATCTACTTGGGCAGGCAGAACATAGCTAGCAGAGTTCTGGTGTGGCTAGGAAGACAACAACCAAGCATCCCAAGTTTCTCCGGATCTTTATGACTCACAAGCAGTCAGGACCTCAGACGATCTTCCTCAACTTAGCTAGTAGAACAGAGAAATCTATATCCTAATACTGGACAGAGATCCAGCCTTTTCCTTAGCAGATGCATGGGGTGTGCGATAGATGGTCGACACGCATCCTTCAGAGAGTCGCAGCCTGGATCCCAGGGGAAGGCTCAGGAATACATATCTAAGGTGCTCCACCACCACCGTCTTCCCAAAAGAAGACTCTTCTCTATGTTCCTCTCACCTCACCCCAAGTCTTTTTGGGTGCTATAAAGAAGTCCAGCCTGTCCCAATATCAAAAGAGATAGCTCAGCATTGCAAAACTAGGGATCACAAGAGCACTGAGGGGGTCCTCGTCACTCTAGTCATCGCATTCTGATCCCATAGTGTTGCATTCCTCCTAGGATGTCCAGGATACCAGTGGGCATTAAACACTTCAACTTTGCATAGACAGGTTTTGCTATTCACAAGGGCTGCATTCAGTGTTATAGGGAATGAATAGGAGCCCAGATCAGGTTTCACAAATGTTAATGATACAGAGAGATGCTCAACAGCTGGATCATCCTCTTTTTCTACAGGATAGGATTTCTAAAAGCTCAGATTAGCAGATACTCCAACTGCCAGGGAGTCCAGGAAGTGTAGTACACTAAACCCCTCCAGAAGTTCAGTGCATTTAAAAATACTTCTGAGCATTTTAGGCAGTTGGCAGCTGAACTCTAAAGACCAAGGGATCTATGCTTTATATACAGTCATTTCTTTTTTTTCCTTCCACTTGAGATGATGCTCTATAAATACCTTGAAGGTAATGATATAAATGAAGGAAGGGAATTAGTCATGGTCTCCAAAGATGATACGATGCACGGCAGTGTTCTGAAGCTATGGAAGGAAATATTTAGGTTAGATCACCGATGGGGAGTGAAGTGTTCTTAATAAGCAAAAGCAATTGGACACAGCAAGAGGAAATGGCAGAGATGCCTGCAGTGCAGAGATGTGAGGGCAGGTTAATTGAAAGGGTATGTACAAGGAGAGTGCTAGAGGCCAGAAAGAACAACTAGAATGCTTTTCTGACCCCACTTCTCCAAACCACAGTGTTAAAGTTCCAGACCCAAGGTTTGTGTTCAGCACTATTTCTACTTACGTTTTCTACAAAGATGAATTAGTTCAGCGGATGGCTCTCGCAAGCAACAGCCAGTACTACCCTACAAGTTAGCAGACATGTTGCCGTGCTAACAGAATGAGCTTGAGCTCTGCAAGACAGCATTTTTTCTTACTAAGAGGTCTTTGTCCAAAGGCCCAAGCTTTGATTCTGGAAAAAGCTGATGACATCTGCCTCCTTTCAACTGCCAAACCACTGAGGAAACAGTCACTCAGACACCCTCCCCGACAAAAACTTATGGCAGCAAAATCAAGCATAGGTGTGAGCCACCCCATTGAAGTCAAGTACATATACTGGAAGGAACTATCTCCCTCTGTATGTAGAGGGCTGGGAACCAGACCAAAATTCTCTGCCACCAATAGATCACTTCCCCTCCAAGATGCAATTCCATCCCCAACCGTGAAGTGGGGAATATAGTCCCCTCTCCCCCTTGTGCGGCACTCAGGAATGGAGTGAATCTGGGTCACGCTTAGAGCGCCTCAGGTTGAAGGCCTTTCCAGATTATAAATTGTGAGCCTTAGGCACTGAAAACCAACTCCCACAACAATGCCCTCTCACAGGGAATGTAGTGCTGAAGGTGATCTCCTCCTGTTCCCCACTCAGGGGAATGGGGTCCCTCTTCAAAGCACATATTAGTGGAAGAGCAAAACACAAGAGGTAGTAATGAAATTTCAGGGAAAGCAGATACTTTAAAAAAATAAAATTAAAAAAAAAAAATTAAGTTCAAGTTCTGCTCACACCCAAATTCAGCCTCTCTCTCTTGCCTACCTCCGTCTCCAGTCTCCATCCACAGGCTTCCACTACTAGATTCTCCCCAGCTAAATCCCATCTATATGCAGAGGAAGGAGGAAGAGAAACTCCCCATACCCTGGAAAGGATATGGCTGAACTACGCTGCTTGTGACTGCCCACACAGCAATGGAAAACAAGGACCAGATCCGGCTTAGAATTTCCCCTAGAAACTACACTTCCCCAAATGGAAAAAAGACCAAGTCTTGTTACATTGCATGTGTCTGCTTTTGGGTGTGCATGAACATAACAGAGCAGGGGGGTTTCCTAATTGTTCCAAGTCACTTATTTAGGCCCAGTTGAAGAGATATTGTGACCAATGATAGGGGTCACAGCCCAAAGTGAACCCTACTGTAACTAATTCCATCTTACCAGCAACCTCAGTCCTTGCCCCTTTATATAGATCCTCAGAAGACAACTCCCAAAGTATTTCACTGGGACTGTCCAGGGCAGGGGCGGGCAGTTATTTTGGGCAGAGGGCCGCTTACTGAGTTTTGGCAAGCCATTGAGGACCACATGACAGGCAGCCAGGGGCAGATAAATATTAATTTTCTGAATTATTGCGGGGCCCCACGGGCCAAATAGAATGGTCTGGTGGGCTGCATCCAACCCAAATTTTGCCCACCCCTGGTCTAGGGTCAGCATGTGGGGATGAAACAATGGGCCAAATTCTTTCATAGTGTAACTTTCAAAATAAGTGGCCATTACACCAGCAGCAAAGTTCTTCTTAGCCATTGCTTTCCAGATGGCCAGGAGCAAAGAAGTGTCAGGGCCCCCATCTTATGTTCTAGTGTTCACAGAGCGACTGAATATTACAGGATCATGCCTCTAGGAAAATAGACTGACCATTCCATTCTCACTGAAGTTAGAAGGGCACACTGGAGTTAAGCCTTGCTTGACAGTACACAGCCATGGTCAGATGTGGCTAGAAGCACTGGCCTCTTTGAGGTGAATTAAACTTCTGGAGATACAAGTGGGCTGTTCAAATAATGGGTGTGTGTTTCCCTCTGCTCCAAATTACACAATTCCCCCCCCAAACAAAACACAACAAAAAAACCTTACCCAGCTCAAAATATACATTCTAATCCCAGGTCGCAGAAGGCACAGTTAGTTCTGATGCCTTTGGCTCAGTCTCCTGGGGGAGCCTGCATGCAGTGATGAGGGCCATAGCCCAGTTAATTGTCTCTCCATAGGTACCTGGAGATGAGGTGCTCCTTGCCATCCAGAATGACACTAACCAGTCCAGCTTATTTTCACCATCACTGAAAGATGCTCTTCACACAATAGGACCAGTCCTATAAAATGTGAGGAACTCCATGCAGCTGAAGATGCTGCAGGTCACAAGACAAGTCCCAGCCTTTCATTGACAGGCCGAAGCAAGGGAGAAGAGACTGTGGTTGCCATGGCAATCTTGATGGTCATTTATTTCACTCAAGGTCTTTTGGTCCCATCAGTCCTGGCAGGGTCTCTCACAGAAGACACTGTCCAGCAAAGGCCCTAACTGGGAGACAGAAGTTCTTGACTTTCTCCTCCCCCATCCGCTGCAAACCACTGTTCCATGGCATCAGTCCAGGTTGCAGGCCTCAGCTGGGCAAAAGCCAATATTCAGGTCTGTCTCTACCATGCACTGCACCATGAAGTTCCTTAAGGCAGCATGAAGGTGGTCACAGCACAATATGCATCATGGAGGTACACGAGCTCCAAGCCAGGGTCGGTACAGGCCAAGAGCCTATATGGCACAAGTAGTCACTAGAGGGAGGGCTCCATACTTGGCATAGGGGAAGATCCCCGTTTATGCTGTGGTGACCCGTGGCAACCCCTGTCCTTCCCTGGGTTTACCACTTTAAGAAGGATCCATTAGCTTTGTGCTGAATCACAGGAAGTACACTGCTCTGACAAGGCCCAATTTGGCATCTCCCTTACGCAGACTTTTAGGGCTTTGGCTGCAAAAACAGAATACAAAAACCTTGGAAGTGCTGCAGGGTACTGGCTTGCACTGTACTGTTCTGCTGGGACAAGAGAGAGCAGTGCAGAGGCAGAAAGGGATACAGGGCTATTGAGCACAATGTACAGAGGCAAAAATAAAAAGCCAGGATGGAGGATAAGAGTGAGGGAAGTCTCAGAAGGTATGGGGCTGGTGGAGGAAACAGACATGTACCTCAGTCCTCCAAGGTAGTCACCCTTCCTTTGCTCAACATAGACTTGACACTTTCCAAGCTCTGTGCTGTCTCTGGTTACAGGTCAGCACCTTTCTGCGCTGCCTCAACACAACCCACCCCTGCTAATACAAACCCATGACCTACCATAGGGAGCCTAAACTAGAAGTAGGGCTGAACAACAGGTTCACACATCCTTAAGTCTAAAATCCCCTTTGTCAGGGTCACAGAAATTTGGGCAGAGAGGGAAAAGGCCTCTGGATAAAAGAGACTCCTTCCCCACACAAGTGAATGGCTCAGGTCCAAACGATACCAGCAGAAGCCCCACTGAGCTCCCTCAGGCATCTGTTGTCTATATAGCAGATGAAGATACAACTGCAGTACAGCTATGCCAGCCCACAACCTTTGCCAGCATAGTAAACCTATGCCAGCCCACCTTTATATTGCTAGTTCAAGTAGCAGTGAAGATATAGCAACTTCAGCGTGAGCTGGTAGATCAAGTACATGCTCAATGGCCCCATCAGGCCTGTGTTGCCCCCTCTTCACTGCCATCATTACCCATAGGAGCCTGATCAATGCTAGCTTGCCTTTGTTGTCTGCGTAGCTCTATCCTTTGTGGGCAAAGTGACTGCTGGTGCTCCAGCAAGGTGCTCCTCTCAGCAATGCTGCCAGCTTGTAACTCTATCCCTCCCCACCCCACTCCTTATGCAAAGGGTGAGTCACTTCAGGTCACCCAGCAGGCAGCTTTCTCTAGCACAGTAGCTCTTAACCTTTTTTGTACCAGGACCCGTTTGTAAACATCAATGGCCAGTCCAGATCCAGTGCCCCGTGCTCAACAACCTGCTGCCCCTGACCCCCAGCCCCCAAGCATGTCAGGTATGGGGGGGCCTCCCCAAACAGCCCCTTGGAGGTTGAAACTCTACCAGCCTGCAAGAGAAAAGCCACAAATTCCCCCTTTTTTCTTCTTTAAAGGAGAATCCATTTTTAAACTGTGTAGATCCATTTTTTAAAGTTTGTGACCCTTTCATATATTATTGTGAACCCACTTTTGGATCATGACCCACAGATTGAGAAATGCTGCTCCAGCAGATCTTTAAGAAGAACCACCTATAACCAGTCCCTTGTCCAAAGAGAGCTGATCCTGACCAGGAAAATCGCCACATTCTTGGCAGTTGTCACAGCAGCTAGGCAGCTGCACTGATGATGAAAAGGTTAAATGGGATAAACAACTTCATTCCAAAAATCTACCTGCACAGACTGAAGCACTATTGTGAAAGCAGCCCTAGAAGGAGCTCCTGATAAAAGCCTGAAAGGGTCAACATCTATTCCGTAGTACCAGGAAGGAATGTGCTTTGAGAGAAGCAGTGAGGACATATCAGGAATGTGCTGTGCGCGAAGGTCTCTGAAAGAGAGAGATCAGTGGCTCTGCCAGGAGGAGGGAGAAAGAATGAGCCACAGAAGAAGAAGAAAAAAAAAAAAAAAAAAAAAAGGAAGGGGAAAACACAGCAGGTAAATCCAGTGCCCATTAGATAGCAGCCAGGCCAACTCCTACCTACCCACTGTAGCTCCATCTCTTTCAGCCCTGTTAAACAAGCTTCTGGGAAGTTACCAGATGAAAGCAGACAATGCTAGCACCAGCAGGATATAGCCTCCCTGGGGAGTGGCTAGGCGCCCCCACCCCGAGTCACAGCAGAGCCAGAGCAGTGCCAGGCACAACCCTTTGGTGCAGGTACTGCCGCTACCTCAGGAAGGAGCCAGCACTGCCAGGGCTCCTGGCCCAGCTTTCCAGGCCCTGGTCGCAATACACAAGGAGGGAAAACCCAGCCTGGTAACTGAAAAAGTATACCAAGATCCTGGGTGCAAAAGATAGATGCTTCAAAACCAGACTCCTTCTCAGCCCTACAGCCATTACTGTGCATTTGTGTTGGTAACGCTGAGTTCCACTCATGGACCAGGGCCCCAGAGGCACAAACAACCAGCTCCAGCTGGAAGGAGCTTACAGGCTAAGCTCAAGTTCCAAACTTTACGCAAACTGTAAAGTGGTCACCCATGGGCACATCTCCACTGAAAATGCACTGCAGGGTAATTAGCATGTAGGCAGGGTTATTAGCTCCACAGCAGTGCTATTGCAGTGAAGCTATGCCACTTCCAGAAGCAGTGTGCCTGGAATGGTGCAATGCGCTCGAGCCTGCCCGCACCAGGAATGGCAAACTTTTCAAGCAGAGCAAGAGAACCAAGCTGGGGCAGAGAGAAGAGTGGGATTACTTCCCTGGACAGTGACCAGAAGCAGTTTATGATAACATTTTCTATCCCCTCCCCAAATCTAATTTTTTTCCTCATAATCAAACCACCCCTACTCCCTGCAAGTTTAAAGCATGCAGCAATAGAGGATGCATTTGATTATGGGGAGAGAGGGAGGGATTTGTCATCCCTGTTGACACCTGGTTTATCAGAGATTAGGATTGCAAAGAATGTTCACCACAATAGGGCTCCCTCCACCCCCCCAAGGTGAAGTGCAGTGCGATGGAAAGTGGCCAGCATTCCAAAACACTCATTTCTGACTGATTAGACATAATAAGGCAAGCTTTTCTGCAGCTGGATTAGTACACAAGGCACGTTCAGGCCTGCAGGAGCTCTTACTGTTTCAGCTGAAGGGAATAATCATAAACGACGGGTTGGAGGGTATGAGTGTACTGAGCCGTTAGGCCTCAACTCTGTCCCCTACGCCCCAGATAGAACAAGAAATCACAAACAGTTTAAACACAGCTGGTGGTGTCTGCTGTGGAGATGCCGACAAAGATGACAACAAAAGAGACTTCCCACCCACAGCAAAGTGTGGTGCTCCGTCAATAGCTTCAGGTCCACACACTCCCTGGTAGCTGGGCTGAGACTTGGGATCTCAACACCTTTAAATGAAGGGGTTAGCCTCGCCCTCGTTACAGCTGGTTGTATATTAAATGGTTGAAGTTTAATGCCCCCTTCACCTCTGCCCAACTAAGTAGAAGCATCATACCCACCTCTGTCCAGCTACAGCTTTTCAAGGGGTGGGGCAGCAGCAGGCGAATTCAGCTTAGGTCCTCAGGATCCTGAAAGATACAGGGGGTGAAAGGTTAGCGCAGGGTCCTCAACACACTGCTCTCTGCTTGCTGCAGACAGGTCCACTGGGTCTCCCTCCCAGCCAAGCTCATAGTTTCCTGCACTCCAGATGGAGATCAGGCTGGTGCCTTTGTTCCCTTGCCCTCAGCCACCCCGAGGGAAAGACTGCTTTAATCTAATCTAAAGTCCCAAGCCTCTCTTTTCACTCCCACCTTCTGCAGGCTTGTTACCTTGGCAGCTCCTTGAAGTAGAGGGCAGCTAGCTAACATCCACCTCCTGATCCCTCATGTGTGAGGAGCGGGATGATTCTCTGCTCCACTTCACTGAATCGAGAAGGAAAAGAAGGGGAGGATGGTTGGTGGCAGCCCAGAGCTATTGATCAAGCTTATGTCTGAAAGTCTCTCTGCCTCCGACAGAACGCAGTTACTACAATGCATAAGGAACTATGCCCCGAGAGAACCAAGTACCTCCCTAGTACCCAGAACTGCCAGTTCTCTTTAGGAAGGAGAGAAGTTCCATCTCAGTGGGTTCACACACAAGCTCCATGTTGTACTAAGTGAGCAGGGATGTCATGACCAGGGATCTGGGTTTTCTGTTTCCCCAAGGGAAAAACAAAAAAACAAAACCACACACACACACACAACAAAAAAACAGAGAAAACCACGTATTTCCCTCTTCACCAGAGGAACCCATGGATTTTGCAGTTTTGCAAAGAGCTCTCTGCAGGCTGGCATTGTTATAGCTTGTAAAGGGCTAGGAGAGGGCATCCTGTGCATGTATATGCACATGGGCCCAGGCAGCCTGGAGAGCAGGTCCCACAGGTAAGTGTGAAGGGAGGAGACTGAGGCCCCCATTGGGAGGAAGGGAGTTGGGCAGGGCTAGGGCTACAGCCCAGCTAGGCAGTGCATGGGGCTTGGAGCCTGAGGATGCAATACATAGCTGCAGGGCCCTGGCAGGGAGTGGGATGGGACTGTGGGAAGCTCATACGGGAGGCAGAGGGGGACAGTTCCCCACCACTGCGTGCACTCCAGAGGGCCAAAGGGACCCGCGTCCCCAGACCAGTTCATGGGGCAGGAGTGGGGGCAGGCTGCCCACTGCAGGCTCAGGCTCCTGCCCTGCTGCCCTCCCCGGGGCCTCTGCAGCTCAACAGGCGAGACCCAGCACTGCAGGGCAGAGTGAGGCCATGCAGGAAAGCGGCTTACCGCTGTGAGCTCCGCGCTGCCCTGGTGCGTGCTCCCTGCACATGTGGTAGCAGCAGGAGGCGGTGGAGCCCCTCACTGTTGCCATGCATACAGGGGACTCGTCGCCAGGGCAGCGTGGAGCTCGCAGCAGCAGAGATCCCTCTGCGGCCCCGCTCTGTCCTGAAGTGCTGGGGTGCACCCACTGGGCTGCAGAGGCCCTGAAGGTGGGCAGCAGGGCACCCTGCCCACATCAGGGACCTGGGTCCCTGGCCCCGTAGCCCTGGCAGCTGGGGGCCCCCTCCGGCAGGGAAGGAAAGCTTAGGGATAGCATGGCTGAGAGCAAAGTACACAGCCCAGCAGAGGATTTTGGAGTGGTTTGGTTGGTGTATTTTGATTCGCTAAAGCTGACTTGCACCACTTGGATCCCATTGATTGAGCATGCTCAGATACTGCCGCCACTTGGGAGCAACCTAGCCCCATTTTCCTTCCAGAGGCGAATCCATCGTTAGCCTTGTCAGAAGTGCCACCAGTATCCAGACACAACATGCACCCAGTCACTTCTCTCAATTTCCCCATGTGTCATGCCTCTAAGCAACTGTCCATGCTGAAATTCTGCCTTCCATTTATTACTACACTAACCTTCACCCCCGTTGGGGATACCAGGAGGAATGGAGGAGCGCTAAAAAAAGCGCTACATAAAAAACCCAGCAGACACTTTACACTTGCAATAGCATCTTTGAGAGGAACACAAAGCACTTTATGAATCCCCATACTGACCACTCCCAGACCTGCTAAGCCTCAGCTGACCTCTAGAACTGGATGAAAATATTACTGAAAAAAAATTCTGTTGTAGGGAGATGAGGAGGAAGCTGCTTCAGAGAAACATATTGGTCCAAAACTAACCAGGAAGAGCGCAGGCGTAGGACATGCAGCTGGGAGGCAAGAGACCTCAATTCAGGTCTCTTGCTCTTCATGATTCAGAGCAGGCACTTCAACATAGGTCTCCCAGTCCAGCCAAAATCCCCTAGACTTGTTTATCTTTTCCCCTACCTCCATCTGCCTCAGCTCCTGCAGCTAATAGTGGTAAAAGCACTGGTCTGGGCCAGTCACTAGCATTTATAACCATGCTCTGACCAGGGTTAGAAGAGGGTAAGGTCTGGAAGACCGAGACAAAAGATGCTAGTGACTGTCTGTTCCCTTTGAGCTATAGCTCCTGCCAGCAAAGCTGCAGAAATGGAAGACTGTATAAACAGCCAGTGTAGAAAGCCACTGTACCTTCTTTCATTGGGTCCTTGACTATCTAGGACCAAATAAAGCCTTTGTAGTTTTCTGCCTGAGACTTGACCCAGCCTGACCTGCTTGCCTTGGGACTGAATAAGATCAATACAAGAGGGTATGGCAGAGACTAAAAGCGGTGTTGTGTTGTACAATTTAAGCGCAGCAGAGGATGGACATCCCTGTGTATCTTTTAACATGCAGCCAATGTATTCTACTGCACTTTTATTCAGATATCCCTCCCTTCCCCCTGCTAATAAGTTTTGTCGCTATTTTTAGTGCATTTGATTAGGATAATAACCAGTTGTTGATTGACAGCTCTTTAAGACTGAACGGTTTGTAATTTGCACTTGACTAATATTCACTAGAAATAATTGCACAGCATGATGCAAGGTATTTCAAGTTACAGTCTCAACTCAAGACGGCAGTACATACAAATAAGGTTCCCCCCCTCCCACACACACTACTGCATTTCACAGGTCCACACAGGTTGCATCTCTTTGCTCCACAGTATAATTCAGTAAAACAAAGTTGCAGCAAAGTTCTGGAAAGGGAATCTTCCTACAGTCACCTTTTCAGCAGTTGTCTCCATCTCTGGTTATTAAAATAAAATGTTTAGAGTCTCACCATTTAGTAAAATAGCCAACTGGTTTGTATTGCACTAAGAGTCACAGGTTGGGCTGTATACTCATGTCCAACAAGGTGACATCAGTAAATTTTCTAGTTGAAAATTTATCTAGTTTTTCTAGTTGAAAAATTTTCTAGAAAAGTTTTCTAGTGATACTGAAGAGTAGAAATACAGAACAAAGGGTTCAGAGAGAGGAAGAAACTGGATTAGATGCCAACTGGAAATAAAGAGTTTGAAGACGGGCCCTTAACAAGGGCTGTAGAGACTTGGGGTAAAGAATCACGGCCCCCTTGAAGACAGTGGGCCAAGCCTTCAGTCCTAGGTTCTACTTCCAGCTCTGCCACTGACTGGCAGTGTCAAGTTCCTCCCAACCTCCTACCCTGTTTTCCCATCTATAGTGTTCACCGTCTGGAAAAGACAACTGCTATTCTCGTGGTACAGTTTCCAGTACAACGGGGCCCTAATCTTGGGTGCTACCTTAATGTGGAAGCTACTAGAAGTGGAAGGCAGGCAAGGAGATGTGGGAAATAACTACTACTCCTTGAAAACTCTAGGTAAGCTGTAAAACACCTACTGCCCTCCTGCCCCACCGTGCTGCTGAAACCCCTGTACGAGCTCATAGCCTTGTCTACCCTCGTTATCTCCTGTACTTGTCTGGCTGGGCGTCAACCATAGCAAGACAGGACAGAAGTTTGCCTAGAGTAGCCAAGGCTAACAATTTTCTGGAGCCAAGAGAGAAGTGGAAGTCAAGCAAACACCCTAAGCATTTCCAAACATGGACTGGCCGGCTCCCCTGGCACAGATGTCTCATTCTCCAACTTTCACTTTTATTAACATTGTAAAGAGTGGTGACTACAAGTCAGATTGTGCAGATCTCCTACACCAACCTGGCTGGGACATTTAGAGAAGTTGCGGCCTCCTTGTTAGACTAACAGGAAAATGAGTGAAGAAGTCCAGGAGGCTGTCGACATAGTAGCAATGCAGGCATGACAACAATCAGGAGCTCGAAGCACACGCTACACTGCATGGAGACAGACAAATGTACATACCTGCATATTATACTTTGGTTGAGACAGATGGGTTAAGTAACTCCCAGGAATGGACACCATGTCCTGTTCTGTAAATTCTCATCCCCTCCTCCCAACCCCAGATAGCCACATTTTTGTGCAGCCACCTACTCCGGACACTGAAGCGACCATGCTGTTGTCACAGAAGGAAAGGGAGATGCAGAGAGGTTAAGGAGTTAATAATCAACAAGACCTCTCCTTTGCTCACAGCCTAGGAGGAGGAGGGGAGGCTGCTTCCCAGCAACCAAAGGGAACATTTCCTCATCTTTATCCCCCCCCCGCCCCCTCCCCAAGCTGTGACAGTGATTAAGAGCAATGCACAGGGGGGAGGGAGCTGAAGGGGGAAGCTATGGATAAGCTGAGGCATGCAGTTCCTGCCCTCAAGAGACAGAACAGGGAAGGCCTCAGCAAGTGCCCCCTCCCAAAAAGCAATTAAAACAAGGCGCGCACAGCTGGGAAATTCAGCTTGGACCAGACCACGGCGCCTCGCTCCCCCTCCCCGGCTCCATTCCTGACCAGGATGTAAAGCTGTTAATTCAAAAGGACACATGGGGTACAAAAAGATTTGACTCTCCAATGCTTATCGGGTACCGACAGACATCAGACCTCCCCAGTGCTCCTGTTCCTTGAGATCAGCACCCCCCATTTCAGCTCATGCTCCTCTGGGACCCTGTTGCCACGCTAATACTAGACAGACTCCGTACACATCGTACCAGGCTGTCCAGAGCAGCCAGGCTCCCTGGTGTCAAGCGTGGGAGAGGGCTAGAGAGAGACTAGACAAAAGCTACCCCAGGAAGGGAAAGTTGTTGCAGGATAATGCATGCATCTCTCATCGGTGAAGGTACACAACTGTTGGTTGGAGGTCAGGGATGGGGGCCTTAAAAATGAAGCCCCAGCTATGAGTTATTTGTACTGCAGTAGCTCCCCAGAGCTCCAGTCATGGACCACTAGGGAGGTAGAGTATACACGCAGCAAAGGTGATCTCTGCCCCAAAGAGCTCACAATGGGGTGGGACAGACAGGCAGACACTAGACTTTAGCCTGCTACACACCCAGTGGGTGGTATAGGAGTTAGACACTTAATAAAAAGAGTCCTACAAAGGGGGAAATTCTCCTTTAGCTAGGAAGAAAATAGCAACCCCAACACAACAGTGGGCTTTAATCCGTACTCAT